ATAATTTAACAGAAAGATACAGTTAATAATCATTCTTTAATCAGATTAACATTAGTTAATTGAGAGATGTCGCTATCAGTTAAATTCATTTGAGAATCTAATTGATAATAAGTTAAATAAGGGGATTGAACAGTATAAGAGAATGATTTATTAAATTGATTATTAACTGAGAGTGTAGATTGATTAATATGATTAATTAATTCATTAATAAGAGGAGTATGAATATATGAGAATGTGATTGTTGAGATCTTGTCGTCATAATTAGTAAGATTAATTTTAAGACTTGTAGGTCTTAAATTTCCATAAGTAGGTTCAATAAAGTCCATTAAATCGATTCTATAATAGTTAGTCAATTGAGTGTCATTAAATTTAATAACTTTTGTTATTGTACTAGTAATAATTTCATCTGTTTTGTCTGTTTTGTCTGTTTTTTGTGTGATTAAATCACCTATTTGTTCAATTTTCTCTTTTTCTTTATTCGAAAAGCTAAACATAAATTAAAATATTAGATCAATTATAAAAACTAGTTATTTCTGAAAAGCTATCAATATATTCAAAGATATTTGTATTAGAATTAGAGTTTGAGTCAGAGTCATGATTAGAACTCATAGCTTGATTAATTGTATAATACTCTAACCATAAATGCATTCGAGTATTAAGAAGTGTCTTTACTTCTTCACTTAGATTATACTTATCAAGTAATTTTTCATTTTCCCATAATTTCTTCAAGAGAGATGAATATTTCTTATTAATTTCATCAGAAACCTTTCTAGGCTTAGATTGTTTAATAGATTGAATAGAAGAAGTGTTATGACTATTATTATTATTATTACAATTATTATTATTATTAGTAGTAGTAGTAGTATTAATAGAAGTAGAAGTAGTAGAAGTACTATTACTGCAACTATTAGTATTTTGTTTTTGTTTACGAATATTGTGTTTCAGTAGACGCATTATTAAATGAAAATAAGATGAACTTGAAAAGAAGGAATTGAATAATTAAATCAAATTAATCATGTGGAGTGTCCTTAAGTATATTGTCGATGATCCAAATAAACAATGTACAATAATTTCTGAATCTATGGAGAATTCTGATGAAGAGACTTGTAGAGAAAATAGTCTTGAGATAATCAAGAATTATGTAGACAAGTACACCGAGAATTATATAATCTCTCTCCATTATCTAAGTGTTCCAATAATAATCAGTTATGGAAAAAGAATTCCTGAATGTGAAAAGTTTCAATATATAAATGAATCCATAGAAACACAAAAAGAAGTTATAAAAATTTTAATGATGGAAAAGGCCGAATTTATCAAAGGATTCTACTTTATTCAAAGAACAATTGAGAGTAGAAAATATATTTTAGAATCAGGGGATCAAGAAACATTTGAGAATAGAGCGGCAAAAAGTGGACTTGAAACATATATTATTAATGAATTAAGAATGACATGGAAAAATAATCGATATAATTATTTAACAAAAGCATTAATTACAAAGACTGAGAAATTATATTTACCAAATGAAGAACATCCATTATATAAATCATTTATAGAATTTTTAAAGAATACATACAAAAGAGGAGTAGATAGATTTAAGACATTTATTTGTGTAGGAAGTACATATATAGGAAAAAGTGTATTTTTTACAAAGTTTATTGTTCCAGATAAATATTACATTTATCATTCAAATAATCTTGAATATAGTAAAATGTCAAATCAACCAGGAAAAATATTTAGAATTTTAGACGATATTAATTGGAGTGAAGTGAAAAGTACCGAATTAAAAGCATTAATGAATAGAAATATCTCAAGTGTTGATATTAAATATGGATATGAATACATCTTTCCATTAATTCCAATTATTATAGTCAATAAAGAAGATTATATTAATTTTCAGAGACATTTTAGTGATATTTGGAAATTTATTGAAAGAAATGCCATTATTTATCCAGAACAGAAAGAAGAATGCATAGAAGAAGAAAGACCATTATTCACACAAAAAGAAGTCAAAGGAGAATATAAATATTTATTTGACACAATTATTCCAGTTAATGAATTAAAAGAATGTAATACAATCAATATTAACGAATGGATTAAAAAGGAATTAAATGAAAAACAAGGATATATCTATGATATTCAGAAATATATTCAATTACCTACTGAAAAAGAAATTAATCTTCCAAATCCAGAACGACAGAAGAGAAAGATTTTAGATGATTATGAGGAGTATTTAATGAGAAAAAAGAAAGAAATCATTGAATCAGAAATTCAAAGAGGTTCAACAAAACGAAAAAGAGTTGATGATGATGAGTATGAAGATGAGAATAAATATGAGAAAGAGAGAGACTATGAAGATGAGAGTTATGAAGATGAAAAAGAATATGAAGATGAGGATATATTAGAAAATGAGAATGAAATTGAATATAGTATTACTGATTCAGAAAATGAATATTCAAGAGAGGATAAAGAAGAAGAAAGTGATGATGAGACAGAAGAAGTTGAGAAAGGATTTATTGAATTATAATAAGATGATAGAATAGAATAATTAAATAGTTTTTGAGAAAACTTGAAAAAAAAATAGATAGAAGAGATGAGTATGAGTCCTAACTCATTAGACATAGATTTAAGTAGAGAAATAAGTGAAGAAAATCAACCAAGAGTTGAAGTAGAGGAATATCCAAGAGTTGTTATGTTAGAGAATTCTTCCCCAATCAAATCAGAAGATGATCAATCATTAATCTATTTAGGAGAACATAGACCAGTAACCGTTCTTTCAGTAGATCCAGTAGGTAAATCATCAGACTTACTAGAAGAAATTTTAGATAATATACCAAATAATCCATTTAATGCACAAGAATTATATGTAGAATATAGTGGGAAAATTCTAAGTATTGATAGAAAATATATTATGGAAGTTGATAGAAGAGAAGATGAAACAAAAACATATTTATTTGGCACAAAACGAAGAGAACCAGGATTAGATGGATGGAGTTACTATTTTACAGGATATGAATTCTACAAAGAACGAATTAAAAGAAGAGGATTGAGAATATATGAAACTTTTAATTCATCTAATTATATTATAATAGAAATTCTAAAAATTGAAAAAGTATTAATTAATGTTTTTAATGAATCAGGTAGAAGACAAGATGAAATAGTATCAATGCCAAAAGAATATTCATTAGAACAAATGTTTGGTATAATAAGTAAAGAGACGAGAATAAAATTAGAAAAGAAATAAATGAAGAATTTCTTTTTAAAAAAATTAGAACTGGAATTTAAAAATTCAACCATGAATAACAAAGTACATGGAAAGAGATTTATAATAACACTCCCAGATGATAGTAAATATGATAGAATAAGGAATACTTGATGGGAAAAGATTATAAAACATTTATTTTAGTAGAAGATATTTCTAATAGAATATTTATATTTGTAACATACTCTATCCCAGCCGAATTAAGTATTAAAATAAAAAGAGTACGTATAGAAAAAAGTAGAGTAAGTGATTCAGAAATTATTCAAAATAGTAAAAGGAATGGAGTTGTAATAGAGGAGTTATACAAAAATGAACACAACAGAGAATATTCAAAGTATGGAGGAGTGGTACACATACGATGAAGATGATTTTGCTACTGAAGAACCAATAGTAATAGAAGAGAAAGAAAAGAAAGAAAGACCAATAGTAATAGAAGAAAGAGAAGAAGAAGGAGAGGAGAAAGATGAATGGGAAATTGAGGATTGGATGCTAATGAATGAAGATGATGAAAGGAATGCTGGAGAGTGGATGATAAATAATGATGAAGATGAAGATGGTGCTCCAATGGAAATGTCTCAATGGAAAGAAATAAGAAATCAAGAAATGGAGAAATATCTTCACAGAAAGAAGATTTATGATAAAGTAAAGGCACAAATAAGAAATATAAGGAGAGAAATACAATCTCCAAAAGATATGGAAGCACTTCTAGATGAATACATTAGAGAAGCAGGTGAAGGAGACTATTAAGTGAGTTAAAATTGAAATTGTTTTTGGTTAAAATAAAATAGAATAAAGGAGAGTAAAATAATTTAAATAACATATAATATAAAGATAATTTAAATAATAGATAATGGACAACCCAAATAATAGACAATGGCAATAGATAATAGACAAGAAATAAGGAAAATTTCCAAAAAAGGAGGAAAAACAAAAGAAAAGAAGAATAACAATAAATAAGAAAGAGAAAATTCATTAATTTTTCATTAATTTTTCATTAATTTTTCATTTAAAATTCATTAAATAAGAAAGTGATTGATCACTAAATAAGAAAAAAAATGATTGTTTAAATGATTGATTGTCTGATTGATTGGATAAATAAAAATAGAATGAAGAATAAAATATAATAGTATATAAATAATATAATATAATAAACAATAGTATAAATAACATTGAATAACATAATGAATAAATTACAATTATGTCTATTTTTCTATTTATAAATCATCTATTGTTTTATACAACAAAAATATATTTAGAACACACAAGTTGAATAAAGGTGCAATTCTAGTTATTTATAATAAATTTAATTATATTTATAGTTTTATAAAACACACACAATACACACACTTTATTTTATTTTGTTTTATATAACATTCATGACTGGTTATGACCACCTCAAGTGGACTTTTTCAAAAATGACTATCAATATGGATAGAGAGTTTCATTACGTCTCTATATGGTATTTTTATACATTTTCTCTATAATTTATCCTATCATGTCCTTTTTCCTTTTTTCTTCCCTGACCTTTTCTAATTTTTTATAACTTTTCACACTTTGAAATTCTTAAAAAAAATTAAAAAATATGTCCAATGATTACTGGGGCATCTTGATCTTTTTATTCTCATACATCCATAATGAATACAGTAATACCAAAATACCAACACAGATTTTACATCATCACTGATAAATACAATTATCGTGATGTTTGTAGATACCTCTTAAACAAAAATAATTATAAGCATTAAATGCTTTAGAAAATCTAGAGATGTTGATAAACATATTTATAGAATCTTTGTTTGGTTCCGTAATAAAGTTGTTGTAAGACACTTTGGAATCATCAAGTTCAAAGATTGGAACTATAACAATACAGACACTATCAATAAGATTTATTCTTATGATGTGTTATTCAAGGATGGTAAATTCCATTCAAGATAATCTAATTTATTCATTTCTATTCATTCATTCTATTCATAGACACTCTTGTAAACTCTACTACTCTATTTCATCTTCTCTATTAATCTAATCTCATTTTTCCATTCTTCAAATGTCTAATAGATCTCCTTCATCTAAACTTCCATCAACTTATGTTGGTAGAAGATTATTCTCTCTTTATAGTGATGATGAATACAAGAGTCCCATGGTTTATGACATATGTGGTACTTGTACATATAAACACAAATCTGACTATGACATTGTCATCCCTAATTATTCTATTCCTAATAATAGTCAAAATACAAATGAGAATACCACTTTTATGGTTATTGATAATAATAATGAAAGGGAAGTGTCTTTTGATTCATTTATTAAGAATGACAGGTTCTCTTCTTTATTTTATTTCATTCTTTTTTATTTTTATCTACTTTATTTCAGATCTATCTTAATATTCCATTCTATATACAATTGCAGAGATTACCAGACTACAACACCGTTCTGGGATATTACGTGAATTCGAAAAACGTACAAAGAGTCATGTTGGATATTCCAATTCAAAAGTTTACTTTTAATACTTTTGATTTGGACTTTAGTACAATAGAACCTCTGATTTATACAATGTATAAATTGGTTGGTTTGGACAACAGAGTTATTACAGATGCTCTAAGTCCATTTCGTACTAAAATATATCAAAAAAGATATGACTCTGCAATCGAATCATTAGTAATATTCTTCAGATCGGTTGAAAAACTCGATGACCCCCCTTTTGAATTATTATACTTTATACATTGTGTTGGGGGATTCTTTCATAATGTATTTAGTTATGAAGAGTTAAATAAATTAGTCTGTAGTATCTATGGGAAGATAAAAACATTCTATGTATTTCTTCCTAAACATCCATTTTGGTCTCATGATGGAAAGAAGTCTTCATATTTTAATGCTAGACTAAATGATCTCTATAAACTTAGAGATAGTAATGATAAGAATATAAAAACTATGAAATATCCTGCTTATCATTACAGACTCTTTACGGAGCTTGTTATTAATGATCTTCTTAATAGAGTCAATGACCAAAAATATTTAGAGGATAATTAAATTAAATTAAAAATTAAATCTAATTGATTTCTTAAAAATTATTCATTTATGTTATTCATTTTAAAGAGTCTAAATAATTTTCATCTGTATGAACTACTTCAAATAATCTATGAAATTTCTCTATTTCATAACTATTCTTAAATTCAAATAATTCTTCTGGATTAAATGTAGATGTAATTATTAATGTATAATTAACTGGATTAATTACAATAGTATCTTCTTCTTTACTACTTATTTGTGCTTCAAAATTATAATAATCTCCCCATGTAAATATACTACTTTTAATATAATTAACACTATCTTTATCAATATCATCAAGTAATACTACTTTTTGTTTTTTATAATTTCTCCATAATTTACTTGTACTTTTATTATAGGGAAGTGGTTGCCCTACTCTTTTACAAACTTCATTAGCTGTTAGTGTCTTTCCTGTACCAGTTTTTCCCCATAAAAATAAATTCTTTCCTTCTACTGCTTTTCTTACTGTTTCTTCAAATATATCTCCTTTCTCAATACTCATTTTTGTTTCTTTTCAGATCTTATCTCTTTAAATATTCAATGTCTACTCATAGGGGTACTATTCCTACTAAAATTGACCAATGGTTTAAAAAAACAACAAAACAAAAATACGTTGAACAACTTAGAAAGTCTATCCCTGAAAAAAATATTCATACTGACATTTACTTTTTATATCATTTAATTCAACAAATATATCAATTTCAAATTGTTCTCACTGATATTAATGCTCAAAAAGATAATAATCATATTATGTATCCTGTTTGTTCTGTTTATTTTAAAGGAGATATTAAAACTCCTTTGAATATATCTATTTACAAACAACTCACTACAAATTTAATTTCTTTAACCAGACTTAAAGGTTATAGATATGCATTGGATTCTACTTTTAAATACTTATGTCAATTCTTAACTAATGTTGGTATTCTTATTAAATACACTTATCCTGAAGGAATTCTCTCAATTAACTTTAACTTTAGACTTTATACTCAACAAAATAATTTCATTTATGAACTTAAATCAAAAAATGATTTAACTCTATTTGTTCATAATCCTGCTATCAATATATTTAATCAGCTCAAAACACAATTCACTTATAATAATAATCTTGTTGTTCTACAAAATCCACTCTTTGATAATCTATTAATTTATGGTAATGATACTGGGATAGTAGCTTTATTAAAAGACTCTTCTCTATTGAATTCTGAAAAAGGTCTTCCTAAAGTCAATCAAATGGATACTTTTAATTTCACTATTGATAATCTAGTTGCTCTAAATGTTAATAATAATGTTAATATTAATACTAATATTAATCAACCTGATGTTCAAATAGAAGAATTCTCATTTACAAATTTTCCACATACTTTACTATTAGATTCTAATTAATGTTTTATTATTTCTTTAAATCTATGAATCTCTTATTTTTCTCTTTTCATATATGAGTCTCAAAAGTGTTAATAACACAAACACTAAGAAACCAAAAATTAATATTCCTACTTATCAAGAAAAACTTAAACGTGATTTAAAGACTAGAATTAGTACGGATAAACAAAATCAAAAAGATGTCTTTGAATTCAATGATGAATGCTTCGATCATAATAAATACACTATTCAATTAGAAAGAATGAAATTAATAGGTTCTAAACAATTAGTTAAAATGTTTAGTCCTCCTATTAATGTAGACTTCTTAAATAAAATGTTTAATGAAAATATCTCTCTGCTGCTATGTATAATAAAATTCTTCAACTCAATGAATCACATATAATTAGAAAATTAAATGGTTTATATGTAGACCAAACTATCTTTGATATCCTTCAACTGAATAATATTGAATTAATGTGATACTTTAACATCTTAGTAACATTTCTAAAAATAATCTTAAGAGAAATAAAATGATGAGGGTTATCTCATCTATAGCATAGTAATATTCTATGATGTATTGTATATATAGGTTTCACTACTAATTTCTTCTACATTTTTCATTTCTAATTCCATTGGTCTCCATATCATAATTTCTGTTGTTTTGAAGTACTCACTTGGATTAGGAAATAGTAGTTTCTCCATTCTTCAAATGCATTTCTTATCTTTTGATATTCTTTAAGACTATAATTGACATATTCTCTATCATATTTTTGTTCTTTTGTGTAAATAATGTTCATTGCATCTTCTGTTATCCATAATCTCCATGAGTCCTTCTTTTTCTTCATCTTCTGTAGTTATCTTGTACTTATTAATGTCATAATGTTATCCATCTCTTCATTACTCATTGTACTTTCTGGTGGTTTATCATCTATTCTACTTCCATTAAAGTACTTCATCATGAGTCTATAGATTTTGTCAGTGTAAACCCATCCATTCTTAACATTCTGATCTTCATCATTCAAAATGTAAATGTCCTTATTTTCTTTCTCTGAATTTTATAATCAATTGCATTAATAGTATAATCACTATAATCCTTGAGTGTAGTCTTATTGAATAGATCATTAATAAATAGTGTTTCCTCTCATTTACTAAGACTGAATGTAACACCTCCATTCTTGTATGATAAATACATGCATTTATATTGCCATTCTTTCAAGAGTCTCTTCATTTCGTTAATATCCTTTGTTTTGAGTATCTCCTCTAATGATGCCTTTGCACTTACTGTACTGTGGATCTGCTGTGATGTCATCTCATGATTGGAAATACTGAATGTTATTCTCAATAATTACATTAACAACTGTATTTATAAGAATACTTCTAATTTTTCTAATATATTCACTAAATGTCATTTTAGTACCATCTTTAAGTATAATTTTTGTGGCTTCATCTATACTTTCATAACCTCCATTTATTAACTAGTGAAGATAAAAGTTAGATATAATTTGTTGAGTAGCATCAGAACTTGTATAGCTTGTAAGGGGATTCTTTAAATTATCAATTGTATCTTTATTTTCATCATATTCATATTAATTACCTAAAATACCTTTCATATATCCACTCTTTAAATAAAAATTACTCTTATTTTCTGTTTTATATGAATTTAATAAATCTTTTAATATATCAAGATAACTTTTAGTAATATAGCCATTATCAATAAAAGTATTATAATATTTTTGAAAATACTTATTTGAGTTAATCGTATGTGAAATCAAATAACCCATAAAGGCAATTTGTGTATAATTTGTATAATATGAATCATCTAAATTATTACTATTTGTATTAGAATAATATGATAAACATTGTTAGTATTGTCTTACCCAATCCAATTAATAAAAAGTAAATCAATACCTTGGTTCTCAATAAAAATTTCAATAACATTAATATCATATTTACTCTTATTATTTTCTATAAATTGATTAATATTACTTTTTCCTTTTTCCATTAATATAATTCTTTTAATACACCTTGTTTGACATTCACATAACCATTGAATATATGACACCTTGTCTGAGTACAATTTACTTTTGTAATTACTTCCTTTGTTGGTGTCATCTAACACAACTTGAGTGTAATTCTCTGAGTCTAAGTCATAATAGAGACATGCCATCATGTAGTGTGTTTCTTTCCCTTTGAGTTGATTGTCATTGTATCCTTTTACTATATCAATGTACCCATATTGTGATTTAGGAATAATATTATCATATGTACTCACATCTCCTTTGATAGAAACTTTCCTTCTACCATATCAAGACTCAGTCCATTATCTAAGAAAATTCTTTCAATAAATATATTACTCTTAAATAAAACTACATTTTCATTAATCGTATCACTATTAAATATACCTGTATTTTTTTGTTTTGTGAAAAAAGTACAATCTTCTATATGCATATTTTGCCTTAAACTATTTCCTAGTGATTGATCATCTATAGATGTTCTAATACTAAATGTACAATTATTTAATTTGAGATTTTTAACATTGAATGTTCCTGTTGATATACCAGATATTTCTTTATCATTTATTTGAATATGGTTTGTATTACTGTTACTATCAAATTTACTATCTTTCTTCTCATGATTATTTATATCAGAATTACAAAATACTATTATCCTATTACTGTCTTTGTTTGTCATTGTACTGTTTTTATTATTAATAAACCTAAATGATTAGACATGAAGGGTCTTGTCAATTTCTATGTCTTCATTCATGTTAGATCTAATGACTAATGTATATTTAGTAGAATAAATCAATTTTCCTTCATAGTTCACCTCTTCTAATTGACTCTTATCTGTATAAGTTATATACATGTATGTTCTTGTATAAACAGTGCTAAATACTTTTAATATATTTTCTGTTGGTGTTTTAATTATCCATAGACACATGAAATAAGTTCACATCAATTCTATTTTCTTCTTACAACAAAAAATCCTTCGATTTTGTTTTTATTTTTTTGTTATTCTATTTCTATATTTATATTATCAAAAATAACAATTTTTATTTCTATTTTTAACTTTATGATTCTAATTTCTATTTTTATTCTTGTTTTGTTTTTTATTTTTTAAGATTTTCATTTTATTGAAAATAACAAATTCTATATTATAGTAAATATTTTACTATTCTTTTTTTCTTTTTCTTAAATTTGTGTATTTTTTGCCTTTTTCTTTGTATTATCTTATGTTCATATCTATGTTCCTTATTGTTCATTTTATTTCTATCTTCTTTTCATTTTATCTATTTCTAATTTTATATATTTTTATTTTCTTATTTAGATTATTTGATAGTGAAATTGATATATGATAATGAAAGTGATAATTTTTTTGCACGTTTCGTTTTTCATAGTCTATATATATCATACTCTACTGATTATTTAGATATAATATACTCTTCATTCAGAACAACTTTTACTATTTCTATTTGATATCATATCTTCATTTTGTTGAAATATGATACTCTAGATTCATGTTATTTTTGATTTTATTCCATTTATAAAAATAGTTTATTTTTTGGTTTGAATAACAAAATAAAGAATAAAATGAATGAAATGATAAAATACAATCTCAATGAATCCATATAATTCATTGTCATCTCCAATTAAAAGTGTTGAGATTCTGAAATTAGTTAAAGATAAAATGAATATTTTAATACAGTTAATGATGATATTTCTTATACTTTCTTAGATGAACAAGTGATTTCTCTTCATTCTAAAGTTACTCACTTATTTAAAAGTATAAATAATGAAGCAAATGGTCTATCTCTTTATCTTGAAAGAAATAAGGAAATAATAATCAATAACGAAGAAAGGAGATATTCCAAAGAAATCATTTGGAGGTCAAAAAATATTGAGTGAGGGTGATGAAGATGTGTTGTATGATTTTATTAAAACTAGACAATGGACATACTTACCTCTAACAATACAAGAGATTAATGAATTTCTGATTAATGAAAGATAAATAGATAACTTAATAAATAAACAAACTAGGACATTGTCAGATACACAAAAGATATAAATTACATATGCTAGTCTAATTGAAGAAACAAGAGGATGTTTTGATAAAAATGAATTAAGAAGATATACCCAAAGAAGTGAGATAGTACAGATTGAATATGATTTAAGATATCCCAATCTCATTCAAGAAGTACTTGATATTTAACAAGAGATTAATCTATGCAGAAGTTTGATTTATCATTTAAAAAAAATTGAACATTTAGTGTTTTATTATTCAATAATATAATGTTAAATAATGAAGAAATAATATAAGTTGATTTTCAAATTAATTTATTTTTATTAATTATTCTTTTAATTCTTTTTATTATATTTTTACTATTTTGATTTTCTTTTCTTCTTCTTATTTTTTTATTTTCTTTCATTTTTATGAAATTCTTTTCTTTTTATTCATTGTTTATTATTCTATCATTTACCATCCATTTTGATGATTAATGTTAGAAATCAACTCTAGATGATAATTAGAATAGATTTTGTTGAAAAATAAGTGAATAATGAATTCATAGTATGAATAAAACGAACATGATATATATGACAATTGATCAATTTTATATCACTACAATAAATATATTGACTAAACCATTCTTATTCAATTCTACATTTCTCAATTATTTGTTGTTATCATAATTATTCAAATAGTATCAGAATCGAATCAAATAAATATAAATAAGTTTAATTGAATGATGAGTATTACGTGTATTAAATTGAAATAAAACACAATATTCAAATGATATTATTAATTGTATTAAAATGGTCATAAATTACATGAATGATTAAACAAACAATCAACGTTATCATTAAATGAATATTTACAAATAATCAAATAAAGATAAACAAGTGCAAAACACTGAACTAATATTAATATCAATGATTAACAAGAATTTTATTTTCACTAAAAAGAGTCAATTAATAGATATATCCACAATTTGATTTTCTTCATTTTAAGAACTGATTACTTTAGTTTCTTCAATACGCTCTACTTCTATCATAGAGTTTATTTCCAACATGCTCACATTAGAAGCTTCTTCTTCTATCATGAATTTTATTTACACAAAATAAAAGAAATTATTAACAACAAAAATACAAACAAAAATGAGAAATAACTATAACATTCATTATACCTTCAATGTCATTAATTTTAGAGTAAGTTTGAAATAAAGAACTAGAAAAGACAAAACAAAGAAAGAGTTTGAAGAATACAAATAAAAGAATCAAGAAGAAACAATAACAATATAAAAAGAAATTCATTTGTTTTTATCTATTTTATTTTTTTTAACAAAAACCTATAAATAGAATAGTATTTTTATTTTAAGAAATTCAAATCAAAAAATGATAGAAAAAATAAATATAGAATAATTTAAAAATACTTTTCAAAGAAAATACTACATGTTCGAAATATTCGTTGTGAGGTTCTTTCATCTCTCTGTATTAGAAAGAAATTTAAGGAACTTCTAGTTAAAAGTAATTGTCGTATTGATGATACTCACTTTAATTCAAGAAAATATTGTGAGTATTATTGCCTTCGAGATGTTCTTGTACTTAGAGAAGGCTTTTTAAAATATCGACAAATGGTTCAAACTCATCTCCACCTTGATTGCGTCTGTTATGCCTCTCTTAGTTCAATGGCATACGCATTTTTTGTTAATAATTGTTTTGTTAAAGACGCAATATTTGAATATACAGGGGTTGTTCGAGAATATATTAAACAAGCAGTACATGGGGGAAGAAATATGACCAGTGAAAATAAAAAACATTATATCACTGATGAAATTGTTGATTTTGACGCTTGTAGTTTATATCCATCTGCCATTGTACGTTTATATTTGCCAATGGGAGCGCCAAATCAAATGTTTCATCCAATTGAATGGTATCTTGAACACCTTATGGATGAACAACAATTTGAACCCTCTGAAACAAAATTTATTTCTTATTTTATTGTAACCATTGTAATAACAAAAATAAATAAGAAAAGAAAAATGCCTATTATTATTAAAAAGATAAAAGGTATAAATCATTATGTAAATGAAGAAACCACCATGATTGTAGATTCAATTTATCTACAAGATTTAATTAAATATCAAGAAATAAAATTTAAGATGGTACAAGGGGTGTATTGGAAAGGAAGTAAAGTTGGATTATTTAAAGAAAAAATAAAAGAAATATATAGAATAAGGAAAGAAATGAAACAAGTAAATGATCCAGCTGAAATTATATTTAAACTGGTAATGAATTCTTCCTATGGAAAAACCATCCAAAAACCAATTAAGGAAGAAAAGAAATTCTTCAGAGGAAGAAATAAAATGATCATTTTGGAGACGCCACTTAGAAGATGTCATTGTTGGGGAACAAATTCATGACTCAGACGTTTGGATGGTTGATGTAAAGAAACAATTAGATGACTTTTTTGTTCCCAACATTATTGGTGTTCTTATTCTCTCCATATCCAAGAGATAATGAACGAATTAATTTATTTATGTGAAGATATGGACATTGATGTTTACTATCAAGACACTGATAGTATTCATATAAAGAAGAAGGATCTACCACGATTTGAAGAGCTTTATGTATCAAAGTATGATAGAGACCTAGTTGGGTCTGAACTAGGTCAATTTCACTCAGACTTCCCTCTTGTGAAAGGGAAACCGTCTTGGTCAATAAAATCAATCTTCCTTGGGAAGAAATCATATCTTGATGTTCTCATTAATGAGGATGGCGACCAGGATTATTTAATCCGTATGAAAGGAATCACTAAGAGTGCTATCATTGGAACAGCCAATGAGAAGTTTAATGGGGATATGGTCGCCTTATATGAATATCTTTATGCGGGTAATCCGCTTATAATTGACCTATCCAAGTACGGTGCTCACTTTTCTATTGAGCGAGATTTTAAAATATCATCACTGAGTGAATTTAAAAGAACAATTAAATTTTAAAGACAGCTCAATTAAGTCTAATTGATTCTTCTTTTTCTTTATTTTGTTAATTTTTGTTGTTCAAAAGGAGATAATGATGATAAATTATAATGATTTGTATTATTTTTATTTAAAATAACATCATTATAAAATGTTTTTCCATAATCTTTAATAACATCTTTTATTTTCTTTCCTTCACTTATTTCTGTAAGTATTTTTCCATTTGTTTCATACCATTTAGGGAGTCTATCAAGTACCATTTCAATCATTTGTCCACCAGGTATTATTGATGTTATTGTTTTTGATATTGGTAGTATTTTAGATACTACTGTACTTGTTGTTTTATATAATTTACCTCCTATTCCTGCTATTTTCTTTCCAACACTTTTAAGTCCATTCTTTAGTGTCTTTAAGAACCCAAATCTCATAATAATCAAATGATATTAATTAGTTATTTATAGACAATCATCTACTTCATCTTCTTCATCTATTATATTATCATTCACTTCTTCATTATTAAGTCTATTAGCAAATAATAATGGTTTTCTTTTTCTTTTTATTGATTTTCTTTCAGGTATTTGATTGATAATATTACTTACTGTGTTAGTAATATCATTTGGTATTTCATTTTTAATTTCATTTAAATATCTTTTAGTTGTACCAATAACATTTTCACCTGATGCTATTCTATTCAATGCTTCAATTGTAGGTTCTGCTAATTTATTCATTATTTCTGTTCCTTTTTAATAATATTTCCACCTGGAATAAAATCAACAGCAGTATCTATTAATGGTTTTGCTTTTTCTATCATATTTCCACCTAATTTAGCACCAACTGCTAATGCAGCTGCTAATTTCTTTAATCCTTCTTTGAATCTTTTCCAATTACCAAACTTCATAATGAAATAAAAGATTGAACTAATAAATCAAAATAAAGAAGATGAACTATAACGTTATTAAAGCATTAGATCAAGAAGAAACAGGTGACCTTATTAAATACTTTAATTATACAGATGGAATACTTGAAGCTAATTCAGGTGTTCATGATAATAAATGTTTATCAATTGATTCATCTGATCCACCATGTCCTGTACAAAAAGGAATGTATACAAAATTAAAATTAACAGATGAATCAATTCAAATTACAAATATAGATAAATCATCTATTACAGCATTAGTTAATATTAAAATTAAACCAAGTTCACAATTTTGGAATGAATTAAAAGCACCAGGTATTTCAAATCCAGAATTTGATAATAAATGTGAAAGTATAAAAAATCAAACAGTTGTATTCTTTGTAGGATTAAAATCATCAACACATTTATTTGATGCATATAGAGTATATTCAAGAAATAAGAAAACATCATGTGAACAAACAGAAGCATTATATGAAAATGCAGCTATTAGAATGTTAAAAGCACAAGAAGAATTAGATTATAAACCAGGAATTTATACACAATGGGAAACAGCATATAATATGGAAGATAATATATGTGGATGTTATATATCAATGGAAGAATTTATTAAATCACCAGATAATACAGTTGAAAAAGAATTTGAAGTAATTATTCCAATAGATGATTTATTACCATTTGCTGCTATGAAAATGTTTCCTAATGCATTATTTGGAAATTTAACACTTGAAGTTAAAATGGCAATTCAACAAAATTTTGTTATTTGTCAATGTAAACAAGAAACAATATTAAATAAAATTTCACATATTTCATCATCTTCATATAGTGGATCAGATGAAATAAAAGATAATATAACAGAAGTAATTAAAAGTGATATATATAATATAATTAAAAGAAATGGAGAATATCATGCATTTACACAAATAGGTGATTCATTTAATGTTCATTCATTTACTGGTGCATTACGTGAATCACAAAATATTATTGTTGGAAAAGATACAACAGTAAGTTTTATGATAACAGATGGAAGTTTAAAATATTGTAGAACAAATATTAATGGATTTAATATTAAAGATAGTATATTAAATGAATTAATAGAAAAATATCAAACAAAAGAATTAATTATTCCTTCTCAATATGTTGATTATCAAGCATTTTCACAAAAACCAATGACTAATGGTTAAAAATGTAATACTACTTATGCTATGACAAATGTAAGTTCTTTAATGTTTTTATTCCCTAGAACAACTAATGAAGTAACATGTAGTAGAAATCCTTTATTAGCATCTTTACAATTACAAATTGATAATAAACCTTATCCTGATAAACCATTTTCATCTATAGAAAAATCACATACTATTTATAATATTACTAATGCTGGTTTAGATAATTTATTCTCTCCTTCAAAAGAATTTGCTTATTCATTAGAATATAATGAAATAGATACTAATTCAATTATAGGAAAAGCAGGAAATGGAAAATATATTCCACCACTTAAAGATAATACATCATATTGTTTCTTATGTAGTACTGAAAGATTAAGTGGTTATGGTACATTTTGTGATGGAATTACTAAAGATAATGCTCATGTAACACTTTCTGGAACTTTATTAATTCCTAATAATGAACATCCTTATATTACTAATCCTTTAACTAAAGAATCAAATGATAGATGTCCAATTATGCTTGTATGTCAAGATTGTTTCTGGAGATGTACATTACAAGGTGGTTGTGAATATATTTGTAATAACAAATATTTTGTAAGAGAAAAAACAGGAACAGATTAAAATAAAATTAATTCATTTATTTATT